TAGTAGTATATATATATATATATATATATATATATATATATATATATATATCATAACTTAAAGATTTATATCAATTAATATTGTTATATGAAATTAATTAAAAATTTTTCAAGTGCAACATCAAAGATGCTTGAATCACCTATTCCTTTAACCATACTACATCACCCCTTTCGGTGTCACCCCCTCATTCACCATCTTGTGCTTCCTCAACTACTAATAAACCCCCTCCATAATACATAGTTAAAAGTCATTATTACATCCATTACTTTAGGTGTTTTATTTGTGAATTGAGTGGTAAGAACCGAGAGTATATGATATACATTTGTCTTAAGCTATATTATCTTCGTGTTTTTATGAGAATATTTTTGTCATATAGTAGATATTCCTAACGTTCCTATATGTCGATATGTTTGTATAGTATTTTGAAATATTGGATAGAAGGATCTACTTTTACATTTAGTTGTATCCTAATTAAGTTTAGCTCGAGCGATGTTGCTTTGATTTTAGGGGTTTCCAATCGTGGGTAAGTCATAGATGTTGAAACAATGACTTCAAATTATATGCTTAAAAAATACTTTAGAGATCAACTTTCTAGTAGATAAAATATAGAAGATTTGATATGTATATTGGTTTCTAGTGATGATGATATGGACATTGTCAATTTTTGTTAGTTGTACATTTTATACATATTTATTTGTATTTTTCTTTTATCAAATCAACTATCCTTCAATCCCAATGTTACTAACGTACATGGACGATTTGGATTCATTGACTAACTATAATTGAATGATGATAATTCATTCTTATATCTCCGTAAAGATTTTAACTATCGGTGCTCGAATAAAAAAGTTAAAACTTGAGAGTAGCACCAACATGATTGGATACCTTAGAGGGTGTATACCGATATTATTGGTAGGATAAATTATATATATATAATATTAATTTTAATTCTTAATGTTGTTTTTTTTTTGCAAGTATGGCTATGCTAGCATGTCGATATGTTTATGTCATCTCATTATTTTAATCATCGACTTTGAAGATGGGGTCGAGTGAGCCTCAGTAATTGGAATATTATTGACTTAAAGTTGAAATCAATAACTGAGGATGTGGTGAGTATTTATTTATAAATAATCATTCATTTGGAGAAATAAATATGTTTTAAAAATTTATATATGCTTATTATGCAAGTATGTAAATACTCACTATGACTCCTTTCGAGTCTTGTCTATTATTGTATAATAATAAAACACTATAATACTGAGGTATAATAGTTTAGTATTTCTCATTTGTTTATTTAAATATATTATCTTATTTACTATATTAATTTATTTGTAGGACACATTTGGGATAAGAATATGCCAATTGTAAAAAGAACAAAGATGAAACTTAGTTATCTTTTGACCCTAAGCTTCGAGGACTATCATAATGATCATTCTATAGTATATTTTATCACACTTATCATCCAAAAGGATTGATAACGGGCTACTTTGTCGAAACTTCATAAGCTATATAGGTTTAAGATATATGGAGCCTTAAAACACAACCTATATGTGTTTAGAAAGAGAAAGTTGCCTAAAGGATTTTGGGACATTAGAGATAAGCAAGAAAAAATCTATATTTTGGAAACTTGTAAGGACAAGGTCAATGATTCTTTAGCTGTATGAGAGATGGAAAAAGAGAAATTTACAAAGGTGATCAAAATTTGATTATATTTATAGCATAATTAATTTGATTGTCTTGACTAATATTTATCATCTTGTAAAATTTATAAGAAGATGAGTAATGATAAAGAAGAGGCTACTATTTTAGCTTTGAAATTGAATAATTTATGTAAGTCTTACAAATAATTGATTGTTGAATTAGGTTGCTATAATTGATTGAATTATCATTTTTTATTTGTAATATTAGTTGTTCTACTTTTTAGAAAGACAACACATTGATGTGTGAATACATA